CGACCAGACGGGCCTGTCTGCACACGTCAGCCTCATCTCCTTCTTCTCCTTCTTCCTTCAGCTCAGCTAATTGTACACCAACCCACAGTCTGTAATGTGGCAATTGCAGGGCTGTCCAATCAGCTGCCAGCTCCTGGAAACCAAAGATCCCGTTAGCTAAATCCAAACCTGCAGCCGCCGCTGCCGTAACCTCATTAACATCGAGTGGTCAGCAGCAGCAGCAGCAGCAGCAGCAGCAGTGGTGGAGGTGGAGGTTGTAGTCGTGGTCAAAGCCGCAGCCACGCTGACACTGCAGTGTGACAAAAGGATCACACACACACACACGGCTCCACCTGCTGCCTGGTTCAGGTCACCGCGGCCGAGGCTGTCAGCGTGGACCCTGTGTGTGTGTGTGTGTGTGTGTGTGTAGGTGACGGTGATTGAGAGGCCGTGTGGTTTGTAGTGAAGTTTACGGCGGGCTAACGTAAATGTCATGTTTTCTTTCTGATGCTTCACGGACGTTTCCTCAGACGGAGGTGTTTCAGAGCTCATTACACTGGATTTACATGCTGTTTGATTACATCTGCCGGGAAATGTGTGCTATCTTTTAGCAGCACTGTGGGGAAACCCCCCCCCTAACCCCCCCCCAAAAAAAACAACACCCTGGAAACTTAGAGGGAAACGGGAAACGACCATTGAAGCAGCCGAGTTTTTTCATTTTATGGTGTGTTTTTAAAAATCTTCATGAATCTCTGGAGAGTTTAAAAAAATCACGTTGAATGAAGTGAAGTCTGTGAACAGAAAACAGTTGTTTAAGTTTGGGTTTTTTTTCTGTTTTATTTTTATCAATATTTCCTTTTTTTTCCCCCAGAATTTCTTTTCCGTTTCCCGTCCTTTCGTTATCATCGCGTTCTTGTTCATTAATATTAAATGTAATGAAAATGTGAGTGTGTTTTAGTTCTGCATATGTTTATTAATAATTAATTCTTTACTTCAGTTAAAGTCAATATAGGCTGAATGTTAGCCGCGGCTCCAGCTTCAGCTATCTGTTATTTATCGTCAGTTTTTGTTTCACAGTCTTTAAATCAACTTTTAATTTAAAACGTTTTTTTTTTTTTTTCTCAAAGAATCAGCTTTGGCAGTGAAGTTCTGCTGATGCGACACGTTGAGGTTCTGTACAGGAACTGGGAGCAGCTAACAGCTAAGCTAACACAGTTAGATTCAGAGGAAATCCTGTTCAGTTTGAAGACGCCTCAGGCAGCAGTGCTCCAGTGTCAACCTTTAAAAACACTGAAGCTCTGTTTCTATTTATGATGAAGGAAAAAAAAACAAACAACAACATCATCATCAGCTGATCCCGTCAGCCAATGGCGTGGCTCGCTCGTCTTTTCTGAACATGAAAACCCTGTTAGGCCCTCAGATATCTGCCCCACAACAGGCCTGACTTCTCAGGCAGAGCGTGAGGAAGTCGCTCATGTGCCACATACGACAAACGGCGTTACTGTCTGGATGGAAGACGAGCTCCAGCTGGGCCGGCCCACGGCCCGCGGCGGAGCGAGAGAGAAGGGGGGGTGGTAGGAAGGGGGCGCTGCAGCTGAGTCGTGCGGCTTAGTCAAATATTCATAAGTGTAAACTGAAAGAATAAATAGATTTCATGTGATACGTAGAGAGTCAACGACTGACAGTTGAACTCTGTGTTTTGTTTTGTGTTTTGTTGAAGATTAACGAACGCCGTCTTCGTCTTCAGTTGAACTCTGTGTTTTGTTTTGTGTTGTTGAAGATTAACGAACGCCGTCTTTGTCTTTGTTTCCTCTGGTCCAGGTGAGCTGGAGGAGGAGGAGGCCGCCCGCGCCCATCGTCTCCTTCTCCCAGAGTCCTCCTCTATACCATGAGCTCTGGCTCGGCCCAGGATGTGGCAGTCGAGCATTTCCTGCGTGACATAGAGAGGCGAAGCAAGCGGCTACACTGCGCTGTGACCGGGTGTGAGGAGGGGAGACCCCGCAGCGACATGAACCTCCTGTACCGTAAGAGCCGCCTGGACTGGAGGCAGAGGGACCAGGAGGGGAGCAAAAAGAGGTGAGAGGGAGAGGGGAGGAGGAGGGGAGGGCAGATCTATTTTAAAATCTTAATTACAGACAGAGTTCAGGCGGAGCGAGGGTCCGGCCCGGTCCTGGAGTCCTCGGTAAATTTGTTTAAGAGCCGTTGATGATGGAGTTAATGTGATAAGGTCAAGTCAAATGTCAAAGGTCAAACCCACGGGGCGGACGTATTTGTCTCCCTGCGTGTTTGATTCCACCGCTCTTTACATTAACTTCAGTATATTTCTCCAAAGGTCGTGACCTTTCAGGAGTAATGACTTCATTTGTTTTTGTTTAACTCCACAGTTTACTGCAGTACCGTGGTGTGTGAACACACACAAACACACAACTGCTGCACACACACGCTAACCTGCCTCAAACCTGTCAATTAGCCACTTAGCTTTGAAGCTAACAGATCCAATAGGCTGCCTGTAGATTGTCACTTATTTGCACATTAAATTCAACCTCATTATTTTATTTATTTTTTTTACTACTATTTTTGGACATGCGCCACACGGTGGCAAAGGTGATCTGGTGACTTGTTGTCCCGCCCCTCGACTGCTGGGATTGGCTGTACGTGGTAGAAAATGGACGGATGTTCAGACGTCGGACTCCAGTTACAGAATCATGATTTTAGCCTAACGTTCGTGTATTATAATACGCACACACTCCTCGGAGGATATCGCGGTCTGCCAACAGGGCGGCGTGTTCACTTTGTCAGTTACTGTCTGTACTTTTACTTTATGCCAGGTTTTCCTCTTTTTTAATTGAGCCGCAGCAGCCGCGTCTTAAACCTCCCGGCTCCTGATGCCAGCTGTACACGCCGTCCTGGCAGGAGGACCGTGTTCCTGCACCTCGTCTTCCCGTTCGTGATAAATAAAAACAAAAAAACAAACAAAAAAAACACCACCTCAAAAAGCACTTGAAGTACAGTTTACAAACTGCTCTTCAGTTTAACTGTGGTAAACTGTCGATGGTTTAGGTTTAAGTCCGTCACACAAAAAGATCTGCGACCCTCGGGTTTGACACAAATGTACTAAAGACTAGTTTTATGTGGTTAATGACTTTTGAACAAACACATTATTAATCACCCAGGTTTTTTTTTTTACTAATTCTCCATCAGTTGGGGCTGGGATTTGAACCAGCGATCTTCTTACTTTACTGCAGCTTCCATCAACAACCACTGCAGTAAAAACTTCAATTGATAAAGAACGTGGAAAATGAAGAGTGAACACACCTGGGTGAACTTACTTTACTGCAGCTTCCATCAACAACGACTGCAGTAAAAACTTAAAAACAAATCGATAAAGAACGTGGAAAATGAAGGGTGAACACACCTGGGTAAAATGTTATCATTTTTACCGTAGTAGTTTAGGGTAAAAATGAGGCCAAGTCAGTGTGATAAAAAAAAAGTCTGTATGATTTGAATGTAGACGAAGGAACGTTTTCTTTTAATCTCCCAGGTAAAACTGTGTGTCATCAACATAGAGTTTTACCTAAAATCTAAGAATTTCGTTTGGAGTCTTGGTGATTTCTTATCCAGAACAGTGGAACAGTGGAACGGTGGAACAGCGGCTCCACGGCGACCTCACGTGTGTTCATTTCTATGGTTGGTTATTGTTAGGACACGCCCACACGTCACTGCAGAGATGTTTTCAATAACGTGTTTGTTTCCAGTTTCCTCTGTGCTGTTGTCACCCCGTGTCAGTTGAATTATTAATGACCCCGCGCAGATTAATGCTAATTACACAGCGTTTGACGGCGATAATGGAATAAAAGGCGTATTCTGTGCTATCTTGTCATAACACTGTGGGGAAATTAAAAAAAAAAACAAAAAAAAAACAAGTGTTGCGCGGACGGTTGAAGACGCTGCTGTTTCCTGCAGCTTTTATTTTAAATTGTTGTGGGAGAGTCCTCCGCGAATCCAAAGACAAACTATCAAAGCAGCGGCGCCCATGGTAACGGACTCAGCTGGTGCTGATAACGGAGCGCTCACGTGGGCCGTGGATGTAAAGATATAAATCAGGGAATTCCAGCGGCTCCAACACAAATAGGAGTGTTTTTTTTTTTTTTTGACCAGGGAATTGATTTCCTAATTGAATGTGTTGGAAGAAGAAGAAGCCGATGTGGAGGAACTGAGATGGAAAGATATGTAGCTGCAGCAGATGAAGGAGTCCCCGGGGCTTTCCCTGTGGCTATAAAAGCCCTGCAGGCATTTTCTTTACTGAAAAAGCAATGTTTCAAGTCCAACAATGGAGCGGAGGAGAAAACCAGACGAATGTTTCCACTTCACTCCCGGTTCTAATCCTTCTGGTTTTTTTTTTTTCCTTCTTTTTTCCAGCTCCTCTCAGAACGACCCCTCAGCGACGGTCGGTAAAGTTCGCGACTTGGCTTCTTTCCGTCGACATTTCCGAATGGGATTCATGACGATGCCGGCGTCCCAGGACCTTTCCCCTCACACCTGTGCCTCTGCCATGGCGCCGCGCTCGCAGTCCTGCCATGCCGTCGGCGCCGGGGACACCGGTCTGGAGAACGGAGATTATTCCGACACCCAGTCCCAACACGGGGGGCGCTGTCCCCCAGCCAAACCCAAACGCCATCCGAGCACTCGCCTCAGCTCCTCCTCCTCCGACGGCAGAGGACCGCCGGATTCGATGCCCCCCCCTCCGCCCTCTCACTCCCAGTCCAAACACTCAGAGAAGAAGAACTGTACGTTTTATTGTTTGTGCATTTAATTCAGTTTAGAATTTTTTTTTGTCTCAGAATTTTATGATCTATAATGTCTTTTCTGATGTAATTTTTTTTTTTTTTTTTACCCTGCAGCCATGAAGAAGTCCGACTCTGGGGACGTCGGATCTAAGAAGGTGCCTCCCCTGAAACCTAAGAGAAGTCCCAGTACCCAGCTGACCTTTGACCCTCTGCCTCCACGTGTGCCTCACTCTTCCACGTCCCTGCCTTTCCACGCTGCAGACTCCCAGATACAGACAGGAGAGGGCGACGACGAGCCGGTCTATATCGAGATGGTGGGCCAAGTGTTCACCAGAGAGAGCCAGACGGCCACCCCCCACCCCGTCACCCCGGTGGCCACCACGCCGGACTCTGACTCGGACCAGAGTGAGGCCATCTATGAGGAGATGAAGTACCCCCTGCAGGAGAACAGGGAGTCCCACAGACACCTCCCCCACAAACAGGACAAACTGAAATCTTCCAAACACTTCCACGTCACTCCCTCCTCCTCCTCCGTCAGCTCTTCATCTCTGCCACGCCCGTCCTCTTCCTCGCCGTCCTACTCCAAACCCAAAGCTGCTGTGTCCATCACCCATTCGTCTCCGCTGCCTTCTTCTGCGTCCACCACGCCCGTCCCCCAGGTCCTCTCCACCAGCCCCCACACCCCACGTGCCCCCACTCCGTACCTGCTGCCGGGGAGTAAATCGGAGGCCGAAGCCAACACCAAGATTCCCGCTCCTTTCCCGAACCTTCTGCAGCATCGACCTCCGCTGCTAGCCTTCCCACAGCCCGCCGCTGCCTCCAGTGGAGTCGGAGTTCAAAATAAGGCGTCGTCATCGGGGAAAAATCAGACGTCCAGCGTAACGACTCAAGCCAGCATGTCCTTCTCCGCCTCGTCCAACGTCCCCATATCCCAAGTGGCCTCAAAGGAGTCGTCGTCAGCAGGTGGCGCTCAGCAGGACAAACACAGCAGAGAGTTAGGTCCAGCCCCGGGGCTGAGAGCCAGGAGTCACTCCACGCCCCTGCCTCCTTCCTCCAAATCCACCTCCCCTTACTCCCACCACCACCACCACCCTCACCACCGACCCTCCCACTACCATCACTACCGTAAACCCGACAGAGGGGACTCTCCTGCTCCGACCAAAAGCAGCTCTCAGACCTCCACCCAGGCCACGGTCCAGACCCAGACCTCAGGTTCTGGCAGGGAGGGCAAGTCTGTGAGCTTCCTCCTGAAGTGCGACAAAGGAGAGAGGGACAAAGACAAGGACAGAGACAAGGAGAGGGACAGAGATAGAGATAGGGAGAGGACCAGAGACAGGGACCGAGACAAGGACAAAGAAAAGGACCGGGACAGAGACAGAGACAGGGACAGGGACAAAGACAGGGAAAAGGAGAGAGACAGGGACCGTGACAGGGACCGGGACAGGGACCGCGACAGGGACCGGGACAGGGACCGGGACAGGGACGGACCCCACTCCTTGCCGATGGACACCGGTCCAGCCAGCAGCAGCCAAACGTCTATAAGCAGCACCAGCTCCACCCCCACACCCTTGTCCTCGTCCCATCGTCCTCATTCTCGTCCTCATCTGCGCTCCCACACCCCCCATGGCCTGCCGGCCTACAAGCCCCCGACCTCGGACAGCCCCCTGCTCTGGACCTACCCCTCCGGTGGCTTCAGAAGACCCCCAGCTTACGAGAGCCTGAGGGGAAGCTCCGGGACACCGTCCCTGCTGCAGCCGTCCAGTCTGACGGGCGTCGGCGAGGGGGCGTCCAAAAGTAACGGAGGGTCTTCGTCTCATCAGTCCAAAACCGGCTTCATGCCCTGGGACAGCAGTGCCAACCTGTCGGCAGACGAGAGTTCCTATTGGCCGATGCAGAGGAAGTTGTCGTTCAGCCACGGCAGCAGAGACGCAGA